ACTATCAGCCATTAGTAGATAATAAAAGAATAATAGAGAAATTACAAGAAAGAATAACATTAATGAATATGGAACTATTGACTAAAAGAGAACACAATGATAAGATTATAAAAGATATTAAAGGTTTTATTGATGATGTGTGTCATCATTTGACTGTTGATATTTGGATAGATCATTGGAAAGAGATTGAGGAGAAAAGACAGAGAGAAAATAAACAAAAAATTGAAGAAGAAATATTTGAAGTAAGAGTGAGACAGTCAATATTATAGTATTCATCTACTTACTTTTATTTTCTATAGTTCTCATTATATTGTAATCATCCTGTTACCGGTGAATTAATGGAGTCATTACTTAAAGTTCATAATGATGAATTACTACCCAGTGTACTGGATAAAGCTTATGAGGTTTATTGATCTATTATGTGTATATCTGTTTATTCTTTCATTTTTGTTCATTTCTCCTTATCAGTTAATGGAATTAGCTCCTCATATTCCTATTGAGAGATGTCGTTTAGTTGAATATAATCATTGGTTTGAAGTAATGCATCAATCCTTTGATCTTGATGAGGTAATTATTATCTATCCTATTGTTACAATTATCTTATTATTAAATTTAGTTTCAACATCAAACTATTGGACAGATTGTAGGTAGGACTGGATTTTATTGCTTATTCTTAGAAACTCATAAAGAAAATGAAACCTTTAAGAAATACAATTATGGAGGTAGGTGTGGTTTGTTACCATGACAACACATTTGATTACATGTACATGTGTTTGATGGTGTAGGTGTTAATCTAAAGGTATCAGTGGTTGATCTGTCAACTGGTGAAGTAGGACCAGCTAAACTAGTGAGAGGAGAGGAAGGTTGGACTGTTGAAGAATTAAAACAACACATAGGAGAAGTAAGAGGAAGGAAATTCTGTCATTTATATTGATGGAAATTCTGTCATTTATATTGATTTCCTTCCATCATTTCTTTATTTAGGTATTTATTATCAAATCATCATGTATGAGAATAGTAAAGGAGGAGGAGAATTACTCGAGTAATACTTCAGTCCTTGATATTAGTGATGTACAAGGCACTCTAGAAGACATAAGACACAGATACAAACTAGTAATGAAATCATTGGTGTAGTTTTATTTTTGTGACTAATCTGCCTTTATTAATTCCTGCTAGCAATATTTCACCTTAAGCCCAACATACACTATGCAACATTT